AGCATGAAACCTACAAAAACTAATTGCTCAAATTATAACTAAGAGAGCTGGATAAGGGAAATTAATTTTGTTGTCATTGGCATGCTGAAAATGTTCCCTGTTGTATTAATTACTTCACAACTACTGTACGAAGAAATCTGCCGACTAAGAGTATGACAAAATAGAATTGTTTAAATTAAAAATTATCCATTCTGGTAATCAAAATGATCATTAACAAAACCAATGACAAGCTTTAATTAATTACATTTGTGTTAATTTTTTGAGCAGCAAAACAAATGAGATAGGCAATACTTTGAAATCTCAACAATAAATTCCTTTGTATATTTCATTTATCCTTTTCTAAGGAACAAAAAGTTCTTTAAAATGTTATTCTTCATTATTAAGTTTTAGACTTCGACTATATTCATACTGCTCAATATGAAAATGTCAAATGACTGTGCTGTTTATACTGTGTATCGAATGATTATTTGTACTTTTCCCTGTAAATAAACTTTTTCATTTTTTATAAATTATTCACACAGCTTTTCTTCAAAACAAATTTTAAAATGGGCATGAAAAGAACAAAGTAATAAATAAACAATAATAAACAAATGGTTGAAAGACAAACCCAAGAAGGAGATGTATTCTTTGAGACATTTTCCACACCTGAAATAATCAAAAAGCTTCTTCTAAGTCATTTAACTGAAAAAATTAATTAACAAAAATTAAATCTGTCTAATTTTACTACCGCATATGCCTGAACTCGGATAAGAAATGGGCCAATGTGAACACGATGCGTCATCATTTCTGTCTTGACTATTTGAAATAAGCATTGCCTTTTCTGTCGGGATGTACTGCATCTCCCTAGAATTACAAGAGTAATTTAAGACGTCATGTTTCACACAAATGTTAATTTTTTTTAAATTTAATACAGTATAATTCTGTTAATCCAAACAGAATGGGAAAGGTGGTTAAAAAAATGGTGGAAAGGCCCAAACTTTTATTTTCAGTTTTCAGTTAAGAATTTATTTATGCATTCAGACCTCACAATTTCGGGAAAAAATGCAGCAAAATAGTAGGTTGTTTGGAGAGGGAAAATGTTAAAATCATTTAAATTTAACTGGAACACACTTAAGTCTATATTTTCCAAACTAAAAAAATTAATATCTGCCAATTGGAATGTGGTCGGGTTATAGACGAACATACGGATTAGCGGGAATCTACTTTAATATTCAACACAAAATAAAAGGGCACTGTTGAATTCGAAATTTAATGAAATAGCGGAAGAATAATTGTTTAAAAATTTCTTCTCCAAGATGTATAATTTAACAAACAAACGTTAACAATTATCTTATTACATTACTAAAATATGGCATAGTGTAATGTGCAGAACAAAATATACTATCAGTCATTTCTTCTGTTTGAAACAATTTTTTATACAGACATGTTTTTAGTTGGATGCACAAATGTTCATGGTCATCAATTTTGCGTTATCAGAAAATCCAGATTGGTTGTTAGGTTAAGGCTAGTGTTAAAATTAGAACTAAAGTTAGGATTAAAGTTTGAGATATGATTAGAGTTATGGTTAGGGTTAGGTTTAGAGAAGGGTTAGAATTACGGTTATGCCTAGGAACAAAGTATGATTAAGATTAGCATTAAGGTCAGGTTATTTAGGTTAAACAAACTGTTAGGTTAAGGTTAGGGACAAGTTAGTTTCAGGGACGGTTAGATTAAGGGCTAGGGATAGGTTTGATTCGGGCTTTAGGTCTGGTTAGAATGGTTAAATCTATGGACGTATTACAATTAGGATTTGGATAAGAGTTAGGGTTAGAGACAGGTTTAGGTTCAGGAACAGGTTAGCTTTAAGAACAGGTTACAACTAGGTTAGGAATGGGTTAGGATTAAGTACAGTTTATGATAAAGGTTAAATTTAGGGGTGGGTTAGAAATAGGTTCAAGAAAAATTTTGGTTAAGGTTAGGAATGGTTAGGTTTACATTCAATAAATGGTTAGGATAAGGTTAGGGATGGTTAGATTAAGAGTTAGGGATGGGGTAGGTATAGGTTTAAGGACGGTTATAAGGGTTAGGTTTAGGGGAGTATCACGATTTTAATTAGGGTAAGCATAGAGTTAGAGTTAGGGACAGGGCAGGATCAGGAACAAGTAAGCTTTAAGGAAGGGGTTATGATGAAGGTTAGGTTTTGGGTGGGTTAGAATTAGTGTTAGGCTTAGGTTCAAGAAAGAGTTGGGATTAGGATTAGAATTAGGTTTAGGTACAGACACATGTTTGGTTGAGGTTACTTTACATATCCATAATTTAATGTTTTTGCATGAAGTTAAGAAAATATGTGGGTGCAAAGAGAAAGTTTTTAACAAAATTGTGCAAAATATTGTTACATGATGATAACAAGATTACATGACTTGGAATTTTTGTATCATAAGCCCAAAAAGCTTCTAGAAAGGATGTGCTGTCCAACTGAATAATGACAGGAAGTTATTACTTAAAGGCCAACACATCGTATAATAATTAGGAGTAATTATTAATCAATTTAAACCTGAAAGCAAAAGAAATACTGAAAAATTGACAAACCAGTATTGAAAAAGTTCAACTGGCATTAGGTGCTCTTGTCTGTAAATAAGCTGTGGAATCAGTTCCTCATCAAGAGAAAAATCCAGTGTCGTAGGCCTTGTTTTACGAAATTTGACATAGTAATAATTATCAAGTTCATCGTAGGTTTCTATCCTGTATCCATCCGGCCTGTAAAATATTTACATTAAATTCTCAAACTTTATATAAAAAAACCTATGACAAATTGAATTTAATAAAATGGATGATTACGTGAGCAAAAAGGTTAGCCAGGCGCCGAAATTCCTGTATGCATGTTTACTCCAACCGGGTGGTAAAAATGAATCCGGAATGACCACAGTTTTTCCATCATGATAATGATCTAAAAACGTTTGACCTGTGAGAAGTGGTCTCATCCCATCTTCCAAATCCAGCGAAAATCTGTTTCCATTGGATGTTGATGTAAAGTGGTTAAACATTTGATCCTAAGAGAGTCAGAAATTTACAAACTCCAAGTATACACATTAAAGTTTCATTTAAAAAAGATTAAGTATTCATACCATTGTTGATTGTAGAATACTGGATATGGTTGTAACTGAATTAACGCACTAATGCAGCAACACTGAAAAATTAAATAAATAATAATATTGTTATACAAAAATACGATTTAACAGTATCAAAATATATTTATTATGTACTATATAGTACACCCACTGACACAAACAGCCTCCATAAAGAAATTAAACGCATAGATATAAAATAAAACATTTAAAAAGTTTTTGCTATAGTTCATCCTCATTTTTCTCATCCTAGAATGTTACAAGCACCTCTTTTGTCCTTACATTAAATTTTGTTACACTAGAGATGAGAAATTACCCATTAGTTACACTCCTGTTGGACACTACTCACTGTCTTCGCTAGGGATTGTAAGGTTAGATATGAAGTAGGGAGCTTAGGCAATTGTTCAAAGGTTTTGGACTGGAGTGACTAGAATCTTTGGAACCCCACAGTTCCATACATCCACATTGGTTGTAAGAGTAGTTTATCTGTTCATTTATGACTTTTAAGATTTTTAGTTACAAGGGTTTTGTCGATGTAAACTCCAAAATAGTGAATAAATAAAAGGTCAATCACAGCAAGTTGCATAGTCTTTTTAACAGCCTTCCTTTATAACGACCACCTTTTAACAGACAATGTTTGCATTCCATCGCAAAAAATATAGAAATTAAATACATTTTAAACCATCTATAATGAAACCCTTCTACACTGGTCACAAAAACTACTATCAGCCCCCATCAGAGTAATTCACCCTTCTAGAATGGACATAAGCAGCACCTCTCTTTATGCCTGCCAATAAAGGGATGGTCAAAACAAAACAATGAAAAAGGTTTTTTTCTAAACTAACTCAATCATGTCCACTCCTCACAAATTAAACAAATTATTAAACACATTAAACAACCGGTTGCTTAAAAAAAAATAAAAAAATAAAAACACACATTGTTCTGGTCTTTGAAGTTTCTTTTTCCTTTTTTCCTAGGGTTTCTTATGAACTGTTTCATCTTAATAAATTCTGTTTCTTCTTTAAAAATTTATTAATCTTTAAAGATTTTAAAAATTCAGGATGCTAGTTGCTGCTAGCTGGAATCCAGGACCTTTACCTTGCAGTGACAAGCACAGTTTTGTTTAATGTAAATATTTTTATTTATTTTGTAAGACCCGTTTAAATATTTAAAGTTATGATTTATGCACTACAGCTCGAATTATATTAAAAAAATTAAACTCTTCCTGAATGGACAAAAACTTGCCTGTTAATCATGGAAGGGTTCCACTGTATTAGTTTTGTATTTCTAACGAGTTTCCAAAAAAAATTAAATTCACAGAAATATTAGTATTAACATCCGATAAATCAGATAAATAATTTTCATAAGTATTTTTACATAACAATTAATAATCTTTATAACGTTTGTCAATTGGAAATCAATTTCTTGTATCAAAAATGAGTAGTTTGAGCTGTTTTGAAAACCAAAACTAACTCATTTTTATATTTTTTAATCTTAGGGGCATGCTTTAATAATAAATATAATGTACAACAAAAATCTACTTATCACAGTATTTATGCTTTGTCACGATCAAGCAAAACCAGTCAAGGCCTATTCTAAGGAAAACGTTATAAAGTAAATCTTCATGATGCTTATTTAAAATTATAATCTGGAAAGCCTTTAGGCATGATAGGCAGAATATTTTTTTAATCGCGAATTTGAATTTGATAAAATGTGAGCAAAATAAAAAAAAAAAATTACTGTGAAAATTCAACTTAACCAAAAAGGAGTCAACGTAACACAATCGTGAGAAAGCTGGGTTTTTACTCGTTTTGCCCGGAGGGTGCAAAAATTTTCCCCCATTTTCAAAATTATTTGTATTTCATTGTTGAATTGTAAAAACTAAACTAAAAAAACACTTACAAATAAATCACCTTCCTCAGAGAAGTTAACTAAATTTGATTTTTATTAGACACGAGATTGCCTCAGCTAACCCAACTTCACAAGATGGCTGCCCGGATTCGTAATAACGGTCACATTTCACCACGTGCGTGAGTCGAAAAGTAAAAAAATATAAATGAATAAATTTTAAAACGCAAAGACAGTAAAATTCCTTCTGATTACTACACAAAAATCGTTATTCTTGAATGAATAGTAATTTTTCTGAAATAAACCTCTAACCATCTATTTAAAAAAAAAAAAACTCTAAATAGCAGATGAATATTTTAGTTTTAGCTTAAAAACAACAATAGAATAATTAAAAAAACATACCTCTTCAAAAATAAACTTGTAGTCCAACAAAGACACGTATTAGACGAATCAATCAAAATCCAACGAACCAACACTCTCGGGGTAGCAGGAGACAAGTGAACGTTCCAAAGTTCCGAAGATCAAATTCATCAGCTGTGGGCAAATTTTAGTTATCTAGGCATACACGCATATTGTAAAAATGAAGATTTTATTAAATAATATTTTACACTGAATAATATCAAAAAGGAATTTTTTTGTTATAAAGCAAATTTTCTTAAAAATACAAAAATGGTCCATCGGTCAGATTCAGAGAAATGAGGAGACTTTTCAAATGGGGACTTAGTTGATCAAGGTGCTTCTACTTTACGTTTTTCATTATTTATGCATCCCAACCCATGGCCGCAAATTAAAAACAAATTGAATGAAAATTCTTTCAACCGTATTTTTACTATTATTTAAAAATAAAATTAAACAATAAAAAACACAAAAACAAGAATTGTAGTTTTATAGTGATTTTACTAAATTAAACCAATAGTATCGTAAAAACAAGTACTTTTATAATATGAACTATTTTCTATATTTAATTATAAAATGTTGGAAAAAAAATGTGTTTAAAATTTGACCTTCAGAAAGTTGTCTTGCTTTGAGAAAAAGATGAAAAAAGAATGCTGCAAGGGAAAAGCGCAAATAAAATTTAATTAAAAACAGTACTGCTATTCTATAAAATATTTTTAGTTTTTGTTATTTTTTTTCTTGTGGAAGCCACATCTGCCATATATGTTAAGGGCAAAAACATGGGGGCAGCCCACATCCCACCCATTCAGCACCCGGCAGCAACACCTTTGCCGACGCTGAGGCAGATACCAGACACTTGAATTCTAGGGATATGCATCCCTCTTTCTTACAACGAACATATCAGAGGGATGTAGATAAAAACCATTTACATTTCACTTAATGTGCCATAGAAAAGTTCACGTCCCTCTCACTATCTGGGATCAAAGCGCCCAGAACCTACCCAACACGGCATCCCGGATAGGACTACCGCCCCTTATAGGCCAGCCACTGGATCCATAAAATATTAAAAAATTATTTTTTAGATGTATCCCAAGCTTTGGGAGGAACTTAAGGCGGATAATGTTCTTGGAATGCCTTTCCACAGCATGATCTCAAAATTGACCGAATACAGGGGCTGTTATCTAATAATAAACCAAGGACTAGAATTCATACAATTGGACAATAATATGCAGTATTTCAGGCAGAGACTTCTGTGACAGGAAAATCAAAAGGTTATTCGGACAGCCAGGTGGTATTAAGTTTGGGTCGTTAAAGCTCTTTGGGATTGCATTAAGAGCTTGTCAGATGGGCATTCCTACCAGCTTTCTACATGGAGCCAAGCACTGTTCTATTAAGTGGAACACATCGAGCAACATCTTCCTACATGTTAGTTATATTTGGCTCAAAAATAAGTGTCCATGGCTCAACCGCATGGCTTATCCTTAATCGGTTGAGAATGTTCATTCTTTCACAAGTCAGGTTCTATGACTGTTGACAGTGCCCTTGATACCTGAGAACTGTTCTGCTAATTTGGCCCACTGACACTGCCACTTTCTTTTAATCATATTTTAATGCATTTTTAGTCTCATAGAGTGGTTATTTATAAATTTTATATGATTATTTATTTGTTATAATAAGAATACATTTTAATTTTATAACTGCTATCCAATAATTCTGGTCTATTTATCCTCACTCAGTCTGTCAGATGCATTTCTTCACCAAAATATCAAATATGACATATTAGAAAATTTGAGCAAGTTTCTAATAATAAAGTCTAAGATTTTTGAGAGGATCATGTTTAGCCAAATTTTATCCCGCATAAAAAATACCAAAATGCTGAACATATATCAATCTGGTTTTCATTCAAGACACAGCTCTGCTAAAAATAACTAAGGATATTTGTAAAAAAAATTGATCAGTCTCGTCTTGCCACCCCAGCACCAAACATGACTGAAAAGAATAAAGCCAGTTGAGTTAGTACTGTAAAAAGTTATGATCAACTAGATAAACTATGACACATAATGAGTAGACTAAAGTATATTTATTACTAAATTATTCTTAGTCTCATTTACGAGTTTTAATAAATAAAATGTATTTACCAAAAAAGAGAAGAATATCTAGAATGTTACTTTCTTCTTTCACTAGTCATAATAATAAAACTTTATTAAAACCTTAGTTGTTATACAATTTATAATTTATTTTAGGCAACAGCTTAGCTCTCTGCTGAGTGCTGCAACATAAACAAAAAGTAAAAACTATATAAAGTGGCAAAACTAAAAGTGCTCCTAATTAGAGAATATTCCCAGATTGTTTGATTTTTAAAAATTAGTTATAATAAACGGCAAAGCAGAGATTATTTAAAACAAAGATGATGAAAGGACTCAAATCTCCAGGCGAGTCGGGTATACTTAATTATAAGGGACAAACATCAATCTGCCAGTCAGAAAATGGGAAAATGTCTTCTTCCCTCAGCAGGTTTTTCTTCACCAGTTCCTAGTTGAGGACGTACAACTAAGAAATGAAAATAATCCTCCCTTATATTTAAATGGTAATGTTAATTTTTTTCTTTGGCAACGTTAGCATTCTAAGCACATATAAACTTAGTTTCAATGTACATAGTTAAAATGTCCTCAATATCTATAAACTTGTTCCCACTTTACTTTTTCAAATGCACCAATCATATTCCAACGCTCCTCTAAAACTTAAGTTGTATGTTTAAAAGAAAATCTTATAGCACTGAGCTCTTCTACAACCCATTGTAACTTTGGGTCGTGCTAAAGTCATACACTAGATAGCAGATCAATGGAGAAAAGAAATTGTCAGAGTGGGATTGAAATTTTTCCTTTTTAGGCGTTTTCTTTGGCGAGGAAGTCGGATCAAGTCACATTTCTAAGATTTTTTTCCTGTCTAGTCTTAAATTGCTCCTATTGGCTCAAGGCAAAATTCGTCTAACACTTTAGGTTCGCCAATTTTCGTGATCGCAAGGCAATTATGATTTAATTTTAATTTATTATATGGAATTATTGTGTTTTCAAGTTGAATAATACAAAATTATCAAGTGTAGTAAAGAGTTATTATTAGTTTATAGCCAAATCATATTGTAAAGCTTACAATTAAGAAAGTTTCCCAGTAATAATACTTTAATGTTCAATGACCTACAAAAAAATAATCATGTAAATCATAATTTTTAACTTTTGCCAAATTCGCCTCCACAAAGGTTCCGTGATCAATTTTCATATTCCGTGCAAGCCCTCTGGAAAGTATTCAGCCGTCGCTTTTATGGTAAAAAAAAGATAAATCATAATTTTAAAATACAATCCCGGACTAGGTTTTTTTATATTTCAGGGGTTGGTATTTTTTTCAGATAATCGTACTCTTGATAAAATGAAAATATCGATATTCAACGTCGGAGTAAATGACATTCCCGCACAATCTACGTTGATCAAATTTGATTACAGGCTATCTGAACTTGCCGGGCGTTTCCAACCGTTCCTTCGACTCCGCGACGAAAGGAAAATGGTAATATATTCCTATTTGGTAGATCTGACTGCAGATCTGTCTAATAGTGGCTTATCATGCCGGGTCGTGTCTAGCGTTGTAAAGAATCGCCCAAAAATCACGACATAGTACGTTATAGAGACAAGTTCACACAACTTCATTATTATTGTGTACATACACATAGCTATATTTTCATTTTCAACTCTATAGCCCAAGTTTTCTCTCTCTCACTCTCTCTCACTCTCTCTCCCTCTCACGCTATCGCTTTTTCATTACTTTCTCGTTTTTCCCATCTTTTCTTGACTGATCCTTGGTTTTCTCTCTCCTTTTCTCACTTTAATTTTTTTAATTATATTTCTGACTTTACATCTCTCCCACTCTTCTTTTCTCATTATCCTCTTTCCACCTTCTTCTCCTTATTACACTTCTTTTTTCTCTTTCTTCTTTTCATTGCACTCCATTTTCCTCTTCATCGCTCTCTTTCTCTTTTCATCGTTTTTCTTGTTATCTTTTNCTATTTATGGCATTTCTTTTTTCCTCTTTCTCGTTATCATTATTTGGCTTGTTATCATTTTATGTATATTTTTCTTTTCTCTCTCTCAAGCTCTTTTTCTTTTCCTTACTTCTCACTTCCCCGTTTTTCTGTTCTCATTAACACCTCTCTTTTTACCTTTTCCTTTTCACACTCTACTTCTTTCTGTTTCTTTTTTTCATTGCACTCCATTTCCCTCTCCATGGCTCTCTTTCTCTTTTCATCGTTTTTCTTGTTATCTTTCGATGTATATATTTTTGTTCTCTTTTCTCTCTCTCTTTCTCCACATACTTTCTTTATTATTATTTTTCTTTCTGTCTTTACATCTCTCCTTATCTCTTTTCCCGTTAGCAACCTTTCTTTCTACCTCCTTCTCACATTTTACTTTTTTCTCGTTCTTCTATTTATGGCATTTCTTTTTTCCTCTTTCTCGTTATCATTATTTGGCTTGTTATCATTTTACGTATATTTTTTCTTTTCTCTCTCTCAAGCTCTTTTTCTTTTCCTTAATTCTCACTTCCCCCTTTTTCTGTTCTCATTAACACCTCTCTTTTTACCTTTTTCTTTTCACACTCTACTTCGTTCTGTTTCTTCTTTTCATTGCATTTCTTTTTCTACATTGCTGTCTTTATCTTTTTTGTTATTTTTCTTGCTAAATTGCTATGTATCAATCAATTTTGTCTTCTCTCACTCGACCCCTCCTCCCTCACTACCGCCCTCTCTCTTTCCATCTGTTTCTGTCTGTCTCTCTCTCCCGTTTTCTCTCTTTTTTCTCTCTCTATCTATGTATTTCTATCTCCCCTAAATATATTATTTGTAAAGTTTGTAATAAGAAACCAAAGCATATAATTTTAATAGAAATTACTACAATCCGAAACTAGACAGATTGTACCACTTAAAGCTTGGGAACTATCCAACGGAAAGCCGGATTTTTTTTTAAACACCTTTGTTTGTAATTTATATTATAAAAAAAAATTGGGGGAAAACGCAAAGACTCTTGACTATATGGTGCAATAATAAAATGAACATCTGCCGGCGGGGCGGAAAACAGGAACTCGTCCGATTCGCA